AAAATTGGTAATGTCGTCAAATTTGTTTCTGATTATTTGAAGAGGTTTGGACTTGTTTCTTCAAATATTCAGTTTTAGGCAGTCTGGTGCTATTCAGTATGCGTTTGATCCATGCCGAAGCATTACGCTTCACTTCTAACCCATGGGCAACTTTAGAAAGAATTGACAGGCTGGAGAAAAATGTTAACAAAGTAACATATAGGTTGCACATTTTTTTTCAACTTTTTGCATTTTCATAGTGAAATTAGTCGTATTGAAAAGCTAAATGAACGAAGTTTGACATTACAGGTTTTGGATAATTCAGTGAGCAGAAGCGAATATTTCTTCAAAATATGGAAGGATCGTTTGTTAGCCGTCCAAAAAATGCGTGCACGTAGTTTATTTTTCCTAAAGGTTATATTTAGTAAACTTCTTTCTTGAAATGACGGACACAATGAAACAAACTTCTTTTGGAAAATTTTTTTCTGGAAAAATAACTTCCTTTGAAAAAATGTTGTAGAACGATGGTTGATCAATGCAAAGGGATAAGTCAATTATTATGAATACTTTTGTAAATAATTTCTAGCATTATAGGAGTATTCAACGTCCATGATCCTATATAATCGTTTGTCAAAAGCAGATGGATTAAGTTCTGAACAGCGAGTAGCTCTGAAACTGATGTTAATGAGAATAGCTGCGGCTATCGGTGATCAAAAGAACTTAGAATATTATTCGAATGAAATCACTGCATCAGGATGTGACGATCAAATCTTGCACAGGCGCGTTATCCAGTTGTTAAGATGTTCCATTTCGAAGATTTTACGGTCCATAGATTATTTTTCGTTTTAATTTTCAAACTTAATCCTATTAGCAATGATCGATACATTTTAACAAGGAAAAATTGAATATTTTAGGTGTTTAAAGTGTATATTTTATGGCAATTATAATGAAGCTTACGAAACTTTGCAGAAATATCTGAACTCACTCGCTTCATCTGTGGTATTGTAATTTCAATCACTTTCTTGATATCTTTTTTATTAGGGTAAATGGGAGCGAAAATGTGCGCTCTGCGTAAATTCCAATACCCTGCTTTACAAACTTTTTACGTGAATTCCAGTAGTTTGCCTTTCGTATTCTATGATCTTATGATGGGATCTTTTAATAGGTACCTTCCGTTAGTCAATACATTGTTTGCATAAAGCAACAGTAACATTTAAATATTATTTCCTTAAAATTTCCAGCTGTGCAACAACATGGCAATTTGCTTACTGTACAAAGGACAAGTTTTTGATGCCATGGAAATCTTGAAAAGCCTACCAGGTGATCCAAACGAGCCAGTTGCAATCAATTTTTCGACCGTGGCCGAACTTTCGATTTCAAATCTTACACACGAGGATGTAATTCGTTTTTGAAATTCATAATAAAATCAGACAAAAAATAAAGCTCTTTGTAAGGTTAATTGTGTAATTTTAGCTCACTGATACGGCTAATTATACATCTTTAATTCTGCAACGGTTTAAAGTTTTGTAATGGTGACACATCCTTTTATAGTTGGCAGAGTTTGCCCAGAAATTTGATCGGTTACCGGATATGTTCGATCCAGCGACGCTGAAATTGATACCTTCATGACAAATGCAAGGAAATGATCGTGGATCTCTTTATATCCTGTTGTTAGAGATTTCCGAATCGAGTCTATCGTACGCGATATTGTCTGTATTTTCATCTACAGTAATAATGTTATCGAAGATATGCAGTAGAGAGAAAAGCCATGACACAGATTAATCTACATTTTACCACTTTTTCCACTCAACTATGATGGCGTAAAATGATGGTGTACTGTAAAAGTGAATTTATTCAATTCAGTTTAATTTACATCATATCCTGCACTTCTAGCAAAATGAGCAAATATTCAGCTCCTTTCCATACTTCGGATAATTCCTGTAAGAGGATTTGAGACACATGATTAAACTAACACTAGTTCAGAAAAAGACAATTCAGAAATTAACACATTTTAGGATGCTTCAGTTACCATAAATGAAATTTGGATAAATATAAAACGTATAAGAAGTAGTTACTCTAAGTTATCACTCTGGAATGCATCTTCAGCTCTTTTGCCGAAGTAATTCCAAAACATGTGTCCATGTGCTCTCCACATATGATGTAATGCACAAGAAAATTTTGAAAACAGAAAGGCACGTAGGAATAAAAGCATTGATCACAGTTGAGTGGGACACATTTCTGTCATTTTTGATTCTGCGTAACTTTATTGCTACGAATAGGCATTGCAAAATATGTAAAGCTAACATTTTCACACAAAGCTTCCCACTGCACTAACCTAACTTGCGAGTAGACCTAAATAAGCGGTTAAACGGCTGACATTTAAGTAATTTTGGACTTGACGTAGCCAGTTTGACATCTCTAATGGAAAATCTCATTGCAGATAGTTGTAAACTTGTCGTATGGTCCTTACCATGTGACCATACACAGTGAAGCGATAACTTCGTGAACAAACCAATGAAAAATTCTCTTTATCGTCCTGATAACTTTATATATTCATATAACTTCTAACTCGAAGACAATATCAGTTGTTGGAGTGATTATATGTTTCATACTGCATAAGATATTACATCTAAAAGGTGATAAAATGATCAGTATGAGGTTTATTTTCATATAATCTAGTTTTCAGAAGAAAATATAAGTTTCTCTTGGAACTCAAAACTTGCTCTTATGATTGGAGCATCTCAACTCATCCATCATCATTTTGAGAGCATCTTTTTCTCGCCTTCACGGATCTGCCTGCTTCGTACGGTGACCTGTAGATCAGCTAGGCTAGAAACATGACATGGATAATTTGGACATGACTTGAGACTGTTTAAATTGCATTGGAGGTGCATGCTCTTTCGAAATATATGCATCAATAACCGGTATTGCGAACTCGTGAGCTGTGGCCTTCAAAAATATGTGCGTGTCTCATCACTCCTGCGAACTGCAGGCATATGAACCACGTCATTTTGAATTGCTAATCAATTCCGTGGTTATTGAAAAAGCCAGAATCATTCCAAGACGCTGCGAAATTACTTTTATTCCCAAGGTAATCCCTTCACTTTTCAAAATCTAATCCTGTTTTTAAATTGAGATTCTCCTAAATCATAAATTTTATAATGAAGAAAATAACAGATCATAAGTACCATCAGTGTAACCCTCTCCCAACCTCTCACAGGTACGGATTCTCGAGAAGCCTGAAATCATAATATGGTTCTAATCCCAAACTTTCATGCTTTTTGATGTCGACACACTTCTAAAGCTGGTACCACATTTCTCAACTGGATTAGGTTGTTTCCGCGAACACATGAAATCTTTAAAACAAATGTGTTATCAGGGCAGTGAAAATTGCAATTTATACAATAATTCTTGATAAAATTTGCAACAGTGACTCGATGAAATATGAACGAATCTTAATTTTTGAAGCATATTTGGTCATAATTAATATTACAGCGTTGAAATTTTATGAATTAATAAGTAGGGCATATATTTAGAGAGAACAATTTTGGCAGGATTCTTGAAATCTGATCGTGCCTGTGAATATTTTTATCGAAATTTCAAAAATTGTTCGGTGAAATTGGAGAAAGTTGAGTATTGTTTGAAAATATCTTTGGAGTAAATTAATTACATCACGGTATCCAGACTACAAAATGTCTATAAATTAGGAACATTTTCCGATCGAGGTGCAATATAAATCACTGATACTTGACTGTTTTCCGGTTTGAAAACCTATATTCCGACAATTTTTCATGTGTATAACAATATTTGCAACCGGCTCGATATGACAAGAAATTCAAACTGTGATACATATTAAACGAATAAAATCATGAATAAAGATAATAGCAAACAAAACAAATGGATAGCGATTGACAGTGATCATTAATTATGGTTAATAACTTTCTTCAGAATTAATCTACAAGAGATTTTCTGGAAACGGAGAAATTACTCAGAATGACCGACAAAATACACGACAATAAACTTGCGGATTGTAATATGACGTAAGTCATTTTAAATTACTTAAGAGGTTGATTTCAGTTTTTAATCACTACATTTTATCCCTATACTAATTTCATATCTTCTCAGCAGTATTTTTAAATGTACTCGAAATCATAAACTACAAATATCCTATGTTATTTCTTTTTTCTCTCAATGGAGATGAAGTTGTAGAGATGTATAACAATCTCTAATAGAATTGGTACTGTTAAGTGCTAAAAAAGGTTCTAATTTTGAAGTAATATTGCCGAAAAATACAAATGGAAAGTTATTTGAAATTTCGAAAATATTTTACGGAAAATAAGAACTACTGAAAGAGAAAATTGGACTGATAAAAAAAATGTTGAATTTTCGATAAGCTTTCAGAGCTTCTATGCTTATTCCAGAGCTTTTTTTTAGCTGATAAGCTTTCTGGGTAAAAAAGGTAGAAAGTAAGAACAAATTTACAAAAATATTTCCAGCATAGAAGAAGAGAAATCAAACAACTGAAATCAAGAGAGTAGTGGAAAGCGAAAGATTTAAGTATAGAAAACCAGAAATATTAGTAGAAATTCTTCAGTTCTATCTGATGTCCTTCAGTTTGGATAAACTATTCCCGCAACTCCCATCATAGAAATATTTATCCTGCCAATTCGGTAGGAGAAGCTAATTTTCGGTCTTTATTTACTATTTTAGTAATTATGAGGAAAAAGTCAATAGATTCAATAGATTTTGTCAGCTGAATAAGCATAAGGATACCTTAATTTGTCAGTATAAATCACCGAAATATCATTTTTCGGGGAAAACAACAGAAATTTGATGTAGCCGACACCGTGGAAGAATGATGTCGATGAAGTAATTTAAATATTTTTTTTAAAACTGAATGCTATAACATCCGACCAACAGTATGCTCCTTAGGAAGCTTTACCTCTGACCGCTGATGTGAATGCATCAGGTTGCATCAGTGGACCATGTAGCTGCAAATTATAAGAGTTAGCAGTCAGTAAAATTCATGATCGATTTAACAAATCCGAGATAGGCAACACTTCTCCGGAATAAATATATCACAATTTAGCTTCTATTTTTCGGACCTTTTGATAGAAATTAGCAATAATCATACCGAGATTGGTTGCCATCTTTTTTTTTCCACAATGAATTCAAATCTTAGGGAAAAGCATCAAGTCAAAAATATGGACTTTTGCACATCTCAGCATTTCATTTATTCAGTATCTGCGAACAGCATCACAATGTAATCTTGGTTCACTAAGTTAAAGATAAACCCGGAAGGTTATTATGACAGCTCACCTTTTCCGGATCATACTGTGTTTCGGTAAAACCATCATCGGGACCTGGTGATGAACTTTTTGTTGTATGACTACCAATTGCACGATGATACTGTTCCCGGTAAAAATCGGCGAACAACTGTCCACAAAGATCACGTGCCATCATACCGCCGGCATACATATCAACAAATCGCAAAAGTAGTACACCGTCTAGAATTAGCTGATTAAATTTCTTATATAAGAAAAAAGATTGCTAGATATCATTTTTTCGGCATGTGAACTTTGCGATTTAAATTGCAACACCACGACATCTGTCTATATAGTTTGCATGTTTTCATACTCCGTATTTCTAAGAATTTTGAAACTTAACTTTGCGATAGCTGATAACTGATTCTAAAATGGTAAATAATGTATAAACTGGCAAGGGACTTCAAAAATTTCTAATTCAAGCTTGATTAACGATAACACCTGGTGTGAAAATGATAGTGTGACAAACCTGGCCGCAGCGCTTTATGCACAAAACGACGCAATATTGCTTGGTCCATAGGGGTTTCATCTAGCTTCATATGTAGAAGGAGTAATCGTGCCGTACGTTCCCGATTTGTGGCCAATATGGTATTATAAACGAAGTAGAGGAAATTAAGTAGTGTGGATGCAGCAACAAACAGAAACCAAAACCTATAAAAGTTTGTCCTTCTTAAATAACACCTAACTTTGAATGAAAATTGCGACATTCTGTGAAGGAATCAGGTCACAATCCTCCCCTTCAAACTTTCCCCTAATCAGGTAAGTATCGAAGTCACTGCAACATCCTTGAATACATTATCAGTCCAATATAACTTCATCAGTTGTTGGAAAGTACCATAACTCACCTACACCACAACGTTTCTCTTATAGATTAGTTAAATGAGTAAGCAGATGACATGTAACTGGGAATTAGAATATTTTTATGGTTAGCATGGATAATAACTTCATTACTGGAATTTTTGGAGATTATCGCTTTGATCTCACTAACTTTTATTTTGTTTTTGAAACAAATTGATAAGCGAACCAGATGAAAAGGTAGATTTTTTCATTGAACATATTGATCATTAGAACGCATTGTACCGAATACCGATGAATATTTGCTAGGCGTCGAACTTTGAAATCACACATTGTTACGCGTGGAAATACACCGGAATCCAGCCATTCTCGGCCTTGCCACAAATCCAGCAATATCTAAGATCCTCATTTGTATATTTAATATATTTATGATTTTTCCCTACAGCTCTAACTTTGCAGCACTTATAATTTGCAGATCATGAAGTTTACAGGTTAATTATTGGAAAAGAAAAGGGACAAAAAAGCAAAGCTATAGTTCAGAGATCCAAAGAAAATTACCTGGAATCCCCAAAGACTATGACTGGTACCAAGGAAATTATTGAGGATCAGAAATTGGGTGAAAATGTTGGCGAGGAAGAGAGATTTCATGAATAGGTACAGCAAGGTTACATAGGAGCCCAATGTATAGCCGTAATTAAAACAGAAATAACGATTTTGGTGATGAGGTGTGTCGAATTCCAAACATTCCTCAACAAATAATGCCAATTTTTCCAATTCCTTCTTCCGTTCATTACATTTTGTTGTCCTCAGATTTTTTGCTCCCTTTACTATTGTATCCAAATCGAGGCCTGAAATAATTCAGAAGGTTTGCATTTTCAGAATTTCATATATCGCACGCTACTACCAATAACTTTGTAAGACTTTAACAGAGTACTTTTAAAATAAAAGTTATCATCTATATTTTAAAATACTCATTCGTTACTTGATTTTTATGAAAATCATGTTTATTCTTCTGATCAGTGAGAATCAAATGAAAGTGAATTTGATTCTAACTGGAATAGAAAAAGAAAAAAAAAACTCAAGAAAAGAACTCCTGTTGACATTTAGTGTTTAAAAATTTGGAAAAAAATATTGGGAATAGCTAACCACTTTGTTTGTTAAGAGTTTTCCATATCCATTCTGGGATAAAAAACATTAGTGCTTGTAGTACTAACATAATTGGTACCCATTGGTAGTAACCAATTTCAGCTCCGTGACGATCATTTACATCCTCCGGCACTGGATCATCAAAGTGTACCCAATAGGTATTCTGTACTCAGTATAATTGCACTATGACTATTTATTACAATTATTCATAACTTTAACTGTCTTCTTAACTTTTCCACCATTTTAATTCAAAAAACCATTGCTTGCTTACTATTCATTAATAGTAAACCGATTAAAAATCAGTAAACACATGAGAATCAATATAATTACTGCCGAGACAAACAGTTACAGCTTATATAAGACCTAGTCGTTCACTTCTATATTAAGTAAATTTGAAATCGTGGGGATGATATTAGCATTTGAAAAGGTAATTTTTTCATTTTTACAAATTAAGACTTAAACAGAAAACTGTATGAAAACAGTAAACCTGTATGAAGCAATAATCCTCTGTATATTGTTCCCATCCACCTTTAAATTCCATAGGTACCCAACATTGTATTGGTGAACCCACATATCTGAAATATCAAAATTCCCAGATGACTAACATTATCTGAATATTTCATAGTAATCGTTCCATTTTAAATTTGCACTAAAAATCTGGAAGAAAAAACTGAATCTTTAAGAAAATTCAGAAATTAACTAACTGTTTCGCTGAGACAAGAATAGCAAAAAAAGTTAATAGAGAGCTTGTGACAAAATAATTCAGTCGATCGATACGATCATCATATGTTGTCGGTGAAAAGATCTTCAGAAATGCACTATCCAGAAATGGTATACCCAGCATACTTTACAAGCACGTTTATGGCACTTGAAATGAGATCAGTTTCAGAGTTCAAATGTAGTACTTGGTACCAATGTCCAAAGTAAGTGTGAATTTTATTCCATAGATATTCCAAGTTGAATTTATCGCACAAGTTGAGTGGATTTAATTAAATTCAAATTGCGAAAAAAAAAACTATAATTTTCCGGAACGAAGTGAATAGATTTGAAGTCGTTAGCACGGAACTGATAAAACGTTCTGCAAATAGATAAGCAGTATATTATTATTAGGCTTATGGTATGGCATTCTTTCCGAAATGAATCATTGCTATCAAGTATGCTTATTGGTGTCGTCGACTAAAACCAAATAATCAGCTGTCCTGTTCCATATACTGATCAACCACTGGTTTATTATTTTCTTACTACTCATTCGCCAAAAATTAAACCCTCTGTTGGCTTTATATTTTATACAATATTGAGAGAACATAAAATTTACTAATATATCGGATTTAAATTTGGATGAATTAGAGAAATGTGATGAGTTCATAGTTCATAGCCATTTTATCAGAAGCATGAAAATAAAGAAAGGTAGAAAAGAAAAAGGAATTATGTTATGTTGATAATATTAACATAACATAATTTCTTCTGTATCATGGCAAACATTAAGGTTCGACACGAAAATTACAGTATGTTTACGTTTACGAAAGTAGATTTAAAGGGTGAAGGCTGAGATCTTAGGAAAGATTCGAAAGTATTGGATCATACTGCAATGGCTACTTCAAAGATAAGCTAGTATACGAATTAGGGTTTCGAAATGTAAAAGTATTGGATTAGAAGGTACTGTCAATTTTTCCAATAGGAAGCTTATAAAGGGCAATGGTCAGTTTGAATTTCAAAAATTCTTTCTACCTTTCCAGAATTCGCTTCTTTAAATTTAAACAACTGAATACGTCCATCTTAACAGATTTCGATTAAAATAATAGATGCATTAGCAAGCAGGGAGACAAAGAATGATACCAGAAATGTTGCAAGCTTACATAAGGAAAAGGGGTCACTCCTAATTACCACTTGGGTTAGCAGTACTTGGTGACATTGGATGACAAGGAGAAGGAGGAAAAGGAAGAGGAGGAGGAGAAGGGAGAGAAGTTGGAGGATGACAGAAGACGTTTAAATAAGATAGAATAGGAGTGGATGAAATTGAAGATGAAAGAGTATTGAACCAAATGAAAGAGACGTAGAACTCGAACTAATTATCTATGCTCTGTCATTGCCTGACCTATGGTGGAAGAACCGATGCGCGACCCATTTCAGCAGCTTAATGAAACAGTGAGTAGAGCATATTGAAGCAGGCAACTACTTCTCACTCCACCATTTAGGGTTAGAGTAAAAGAGGTCAGGCAAGTCATCCTACCCTCGCCTTAGGGGACTAACCGTCCATTTACCGTTTTGGGTGAAGAAAGATAGCGCAGAGTGAGTAATCGATAATTTCAAATATTTTGACGAGAATTTGGAATTTACTGCCAAGCCAAGAGAATCAACCCCATGTAATAATTAATTATGTCATCTGTTCATTTCGTGAGCAAGTTTAAGACATATATTTCGTGATATTCTGGTACTTCTATGCATTAGGCAACGTGGTAGTGTCTCTTTTAGGTAAGCATCAACTGTGTCACATCACAAACACTATTGAATATAGTGAAATTAGTATTATCTTCACTTTTCATGGAAACTCTAACACTAGAAGTTCATCTAAATTAACTCTTATGGTTGTCACCGGTGCTATGTTACAGGGTTCTTGAAACTTTTTAAAAAATTCAGTAAGTTATTAGGATAATCAAAAATGCAAATAGAGGAATTGATGGAAAACAGTACTGACGGAAACAAAAAGATGACCAAATATTGCTTCGATAAAGCTTATTCAGATAATATTAGGTAACCAAATGTTGTATAATTCTGACCTCTGTTGTTTATACCATTCTGTAAGAGAGTGGTAAAGGATACAACTTTTGGCACTTACAAGGATTATCACTATATTATAACTGAATTGATTTATTTAATAAATCCAACTACATTGGTATAGGTTTTAGATGAACAACAATCTGCCAGTTGAAGAATAACCTTTAGGAGGCGATGTCAATGGTCAAATCAATCTGTTATTCGTAATAATGGTACCACAATTCGGATTCATTCCTTCATATCAGTAGTAATAATTCAGATCTTCGGGAAAACAACACACACGCATACAGACACACAGACACGAATACAAACACACAGACACAGACACACACACATCTCCTAGTAATATAGGGGAAAGTTGCATTAATGGATGATGGATATTCTAATTTACACACACCATCACTTATGAAAACCATAACGATTGAGGACAATGACAAATAAACAAACGATGATGATGCAAATAAAACACTGGAATTGATTTTCAACAGTTAAGGGAGACTTGTCTTACTGTCGATGACATCCACCTAGACTAAATGACATTTGAAATTGCCTTACTTTGTCTCGCTTCAGTATCGCCCATAAATAAAATGGGCAAACAAATTGATAGTCAGAGTTGTGATCACTGGTCAAATTTTGGCTTCGTTAAGTGTGGTAACAGTGGAAACAAAATGGATGGAACTGTAAGCTGAGGATAATCAATGATTGTACGACGACAGACCCAGTGCTACAAAGTCTTCTTCACCCACTTTAAAATGTATCTCTCCAACCATACCATCCATTAGTTTGAGAAACCTCTCATATACAACTCTTTTTACAGCAGCACAGCAAATTTGTATGATGCGAAAAATTGTTGCAAATATTGCAAGATCAAGTTTTACACCACTGATTACAATGTTCCCGTCCAAAAATGAGAATGCTGCTGATGGGGCTAAACAAATTGTATGGTGACAATGACACCAAATACACAAATCACGATGAAATGATACCCCCTGCAATATGTTTAATTGTCAAATTACAAATTACTGAATTATTTTAAATTTATTGAATTATACTGAATTATTTTAAATCATCATTTCACCATTTCATCGTTGTGTGTTGATTGTCATTATCATCAGTCATTTGTCTAGCCGTATCAGCATTCTCATTTTGGAGAGGAGGGGATTTAAATAATCAATTATTTGTTAAACGAATGAATCAAGTCATTCTATGGCAGGATAATTAGTACTAGAAAAACAATTGATTAATACTGTGGTTCCTGAAGGAAAATAAGAATAAACCTGTGAAATGTAAAATTTATGCTTGAAATGACCCTTCAAATGTTGCTCTATGTAGCACATTTCGTGTCCATTCTATCTGTTGAATCATTTCCCAAACCACACTTCCATTCATCTATCATACTTTTACATGAACTTCTTCATTCATTAATCTATTATCGCGTTAAGAAATGGGTTAAAAATAAATTTGACTGTGAGCCTTTGCTATAACTGTATCATAACCAGGAAACGAATTGTACTGAATATCCCGGAAATCCTGATGTTATGATACTTTCATCATAATAATATACCTCAAGATGTGAAAGTTACTAAATTATAGAGACAAAGAAAAAGTTATACCACAAACTTTTGTCATACTGAACATCTGTCAATTTCGTTCTTCATTTATAATGTCAAAATTTCCGAATATTTCTGGATAACATTTAATTACATCATTCTAGTGATGATGACTGGATGGACTTTGCTCAAGATTCACCGTTAGCAAATCGTATTACTAACAGCAATAATCATTCCGAAATCGAAAAACGACGCCGTGATCGGATAAATGAATTGATGGGACAATTGGCCGCATTAATACCGTCAACATTTTGTCGGAAACTTGACAAGCTTTCTCTACTGCGGCTTGTGCTTGATCACATTAACACAATGAGTATGAATATTTCAATAGGAGTATTCATATATCCTTTGATTATCATATTAACAGTTTAATTCAGCTAAGAAAATTTGTTTCGTCGTATCTCGTTTCCATTCTTTTTTTTTTGGACAAAGTGGGCTGCAGTAAATGTAAGAATTTTTAACTAGATCGAAAGTTATAATATCAAAGAACATTAAGAGTAAGAAATTTTTCGAAAACTCGAAATTGCAATAAACTAGAAATGTAAGGTAATTTTGGCTTTTCAGGAACATCGAATGATAAAGAACTGAATTACGATTGTTGCACGAAGCATGTCACCTTCGGCGATTTGTTGACGCTTCTCAAAAATGTTCGAAATTATTATTTATAAGAAATTATTATTTATAATTATTTTATATTTTTCATATTCAATTTTATCAAAAGTCCGCAAAATTTAAAGTTCAAATCCCAAGCGTCTTCATTTCTTTAATAGCATTTATTTATCAAAATTTTTTTGTGCTAATAGAATTTGCAATTGAAATTCCCTTCATCTTTTAAAAGAGATTAGATTTAAATTGAAGTTCCTTTTTCTGCCAAAACCCACAAGATATCAAATAGATTTTTCCAGAAGAGGTCAAATAGATTTTTGCAGAATGTTGAACACTTTATCGCTGTGGTTGAGGTAGCATCGGGAAAAATTTTGTACGGTTCCGATGAAATGCACAAATTTTTGGGCGACAATATTTTGGCTCGGTATTATTTGTAGCCTCAATATTTAGCACTTTATACTATGAGTAGGTTATCAGGTAAAACAAAGTAATACATTTCATGTTTTTCAAAAGCATATTTCCTTAGTAATTCTTTAATAAAACTAATTGATGACGGTAATGAATGAAAGGCTTATTAGGAATTTTGACCCCTGGAAAAGTTCGCTTGAAAAGATTTAATGGAAGAATTTTGAAATATTTGAAAGAATTTTGGAAAAATTAATTTTATGTAATTTTCATTTTTGAACTTGCACCATTCCATGTTATACAGAATTCATTTTAATGTTCACATATTATTATTATTATTATTATTATTATTACTATTATTACTATTATTATTATTATTATTATTATTATTATTATTATTATTATTATTATTATTATTATTATTATTATTATTATTATTATTATTATTATTATTATTATTATTATTATTATTATTGATTTATTATCACTGTCATTATTACGTCGATAATGATAATGATAATAACAATGATAATAACGATAATTATGACAATGCTAACATTCATTCATTTTGTTAGCTATTTTCATGCAGTTTTTTTTAAAAGAATAATTATAGATTGAAGAGGGTTTTTACTTAACAAATTTAAGTAAAGTTATGTTTCGTACTGAATAGTTTTTTCCTGTTGAATTGAGGTGTTTTTTTTAAGCCCAATTTTGATACTTTATGCATTATGTCACCAATCCTTCTGATGTTTTTCTTTCATCGTTGGACCGAATATTCTTTCATTTTCTTTTTTTTAAACG